GCATGTAACGCTCGTAAATGAGTTTGATTCACAATCAATGTAACGAGAGGATGAGATGAGAGAAGAATCGGATATCGAACCGGCATTGGCAACGGGGCTTTGTTAAGCCGGCCACCCACGCGTTGAATCCCGTCCCGATCGAGGAACGGTCGAAGTGGGAGAAGTGAGCTTCTCGACGAGAGGCTCTAATTATTTGACAGCGCGTTTATTTCTGTCGGAAATAAGTCGGCTTGAATTTTCTTAATCCAGAAAATTCTGGCAGTATTGCAATCGGATGCAGAAAGCGCGATGCTTCTCGATGCTGGATAGTGAGACGACAGAAGCGAGAACGACGACGAGCGATTACGATCACATGAGCTTATGAATTTGATGAGATACGCGGTGACGCGAATTAATTTTGGCCACGATGAATATCTTGAAGCGAGGTTCCACGTAACGTAAGGTTGAGAGCATTGCAGCGAATTAATTTTTTCTTCAAGAGGCGCGTCGTCAGGAAGACGCTCATTGTTACCAGGCCATTTATCGGAATCAAAAAGCAGCCATGGAGGTCCATGCCACTATTGCTCGCGATTGATAATTTCATCGCCGAATATTCCGCGCGAAATCGTGGTATGCTCAGAGGTTTTAATGGTGCGACCTTTGATTTTCCAACGAGCAGAGTTGTCGTAATTTAGCTTGATGACGAAATGATTTTAATATAAACGCATGCGGCATACGCATGTGTCGACGCGTCAGCAAATCCGTGGATTTCGGCGTGATTTGTGTCCGATCCGAGACCGACCCAGCGAGTGATTCGCGAATAACTAAGATGCGAGAGCCGAGAGTAAATTTCTCTCCATCTTGCTATGTGTGGTTCGGAGATCGCGTCATCCCAACCAATTTTAAGCCGCCAGAGTTGCTGCATAAAGATTTTAGCAGTGATCGTGACCGGAGTGTCCCACCCGAGCGGATCGTAAAACTTTGCGATCGCGGACAAAATCGTACGCTTTGTCTCCGGGGCGTTATCAGCGAGCGAGACGCGAAATTCGAAAACATCGTTCGCCGGATTTTACCCGATTCCGAGGATCTTGATTTGTTCGTCTTCAGCAAGAGGTTTTTTAATGGCTAAACCGTGGTCCGCGATGTCGATGTCCGCGAGAAGAGAGGGCGAATTGCTAGCCCATTTCCTCAATACGAATCCGCCGCGCTTTAATATAGAGTTTAATTGATCGCGCGTTTGCCGAATTCGAGTCGTATCGTCAGCTCCGAATAGTAAGTCATCGACATAAATATTATTTCTCAGGATAGGAACAGCAAGCGGAAAATGCTGACCTTCGTCGATGACTAATTGTTTTAATACTCGAAGGGCAAGAAATGGCGCACAGGCCATTCCATACGTCACTGTTAAAAGTTGATAATCGATAAACGGTTACGATTGCGATCGTTTCCACAAAATCAGCTGATAATTTGTATCGCGAGGATCAACCAGAATTTGGCGATACATTTTCGCGATGTCGGATGAATACACGTATTTATAGCGTCGCCATTGTAATCGTTTAGAGATGTGCCGTTCGACGTAACGCTTGAAGCGTTGAAAACTACGCGAAGACGCGTGGTTGAGCTGCTTTCCCGGATCACCCCGTGATGCGGGAGATAGACAGCTGGTTCTATGTCACCTTGCGGCATCGGCACTGGCCGCATATGCCCAAGACGTTCAAATTCGGTAATAAAGTCGGAATATTCTTTCGCGACCTCGGGTTTGTCGCGAAATCTCCGTACTAGCGAATTTACAATGTTTTCGGCGCGAAATCTTGAATTACCGATATCGATCGGAGGACTCGTTTTGAACGGAAGGCGAACAATGTACCGGCCGTCGGAGTCGCGATAGTGCGTCGAGCAGAAATGCTCTTCACACTCTTGTTCTTGCGGAGTAAGAATTAATTGTCGTGGGAGTTCTTCAATCTCCCAAAATCGACGAAGTTCCTCTTCGAGAGAGGTAGAGCTTGTAGTGTGATGAGCGGAAATGCTATCGCGAGTGCAATGAACGGAAGTCATTGTCGACTGAAATGGATCTTGACTCTCGAGCGACGTGAGCGGTCCCGAGATTATCCATCCGAAAATGGAATTCTGAGCGAAGGGTTGTCCGATGCTTCCTTTGTGAACACCGTCGCGAATGATGTCGCTATAGAGATCGGCTCCGATTATAAGATTGATAGTATCGGAACTCGTCGGATCCGAATCTGCTCGCGGTAAATCGGAGAGATAAGACAGTGATGAGAGATCCACGTGTCTTCTCGGAGTATAAGAGATTAGCGACTTTAGAATTAGCGCGGTGGTTGAAAGTGACGGAGCGAGAGATTCTCGATGAGAAATAAATATGTGTGTCGCGTGTTGAAAAGTCCCCGCGTTAATCCCGCCGACGGCGGAAACGGAGATCGGCATACGAATGCGTTTGACGCGCAAGAGTTGCGCTAAACTTTCAGAGATGAAAGTCATTTCCGAGCCTTGATCGAGGAGCGCTCGGATTACAGCGGTACGACCGGACGGACAGCGCACCGTTACCCAGGTCGTCGTTAATAAGAGGGGTGATCGCTTTCTTGTTGAGGCGATCAGAGAATTTACTTCCGGTGTCGAACCGGACGGTTGAGGCGACGAGCAATCCGGCATAATAGTTCTCGAGGAACTTGAATCCGAGTCAACATGTAGCATCGAATGATGCTTTTTGTGGCAAACCCGACATGAATATTTACTCCGACATTCCTGTGCGCAATGCGTCGCGCTTAAACAATTGAAGCAACGTTTATGCTGCTTAACGGGCTCTTGCCGTTGACTCGCATTCTTACTCACGAACGAAGGGCACACAGAAACAGCCTCGTCGAGGAAAGAGACGAATTTGGACTCACGACCGGCTCCAGTTCCTCCAGGATGTCCGCCATGTGGTCCAGAGTGTTTTCGTATATTGCTTGAGTCGCGTCGTAATGATTGTCTTTGAAGTAACTGAAAGACGACCGGATTGCTTCCGGGACTTTCCGCGACACCTCTGCGTGTCCATTGGAGAATTGACTCCAGTATTCCTTGAGCGTTGAGATCCTGGACCGCACCTTAGCTGGTGTTAGATTGCTCCTACCGATTTTTTTAAAGTTCTCGAGAGCGCGTTCAATCGTTCGCTGCAGCTGCTGCTGATGTGCGACGTGCTCCGACATTGTGGTTGGATGAACTATCACTCACTCGCGAACTTATCCTCCACACACGCTTCTATTTGGCTCGAAGAACCAATATGTTCGGGAGTCAACCTCGACGAGATCGCCCGAATCTTGAGAAATACGCTCAGAGTTGAGCGAGAAGCAATGTGTAGCGCGAATCCGTAGATTCGCTGGAGGAATAGGATTTGAAAGATTACTTACGTGAGCGTAGTTTTAAGAACGTTTATTAGAAAACAATATTATATGTAACAAATAAATAAAATATAACAATTAAATTAAAAATTATTAACAAAATGCTCAAATGATAAAAATCAATAAATGAGATGAAAGGCCAATTAGAGCCTAGACGCGGTATTTGGTGCGTAATAAATATCTATTTTTGTTAAAAATCGATGTTGCTGATAAGTAACACTAGGGAAGTGTCATACGGCGATTTTCCTAAAACTTGGCATACAGGTAGTACATGGAAAACTATTAGACACGTATATTGTTATATCGGCCCGAAAGCCGTTTGAAGGGTAGAAATCACCCTTATCTATTTTGGGGGTAGATTCGACTATTTTACGAATTATTTTTACGATTGTTGCGAAATCAGGTAACTAAGGGTTTTTGGGGTCGCTGATAACGAATCTGAAGTCCGTTTTTATTTTAATAAACATTTTTATTTTAATAAACAATAAATTCTCATTAGACTTACTCAAGGGAATATTAACAGAGCAAATTCAATCATAAATTTCATAAAAGTAACTTGGAAAATATATATAAGTATTTAATAGACACCCTATATAAGAACTATATGTGTCGATCATTTAATCATGGATATAAGTATAAAAGAAGAAAGTTGCTCATCTAATAAAGAGAGCAATGTTAAAAATTGGCATTAGTATTTATGTCCACCCTGTATACGGACTACACACACAAACCACACGTACAAGCGTATACACATATAGATGTAAGACAAAAATCGTACATCATAACGCAGAGCCGCTTATAAAGGCTCCACATCAATATTTCTTGAACACTCGGTATATCAAAAAGTATGTAAAAATATAGCTATGGGTCTGTAGAATAAGAATACGCTCGAAAAAACTCGGAAAAGTAAAATTTAGGACCTTTGTACATGCGACCCTGCAAAAATCTTCGAACTGTGCGATTGATATATACTTATGCTATTTTCGGTGCCTTAAACGACGGAACTCTTTCTAAAATCGATAGAGAACTCTAGAATTCTTCGGGGGGCACTCAGAACTCTAACGACTTTTTTAAAATTCTAAAAATGGGGGGCCAACTTCGCAGGGGTGCGCATATATAGATTCTTCAGACTGTGAAGAATAATTTGACTAATGTCTTTCTTTGAAAAGTATAAAATACATATATATATATATATATATATATATATAGCAAAATAGATGTACGATTTATACATATTGCGAAAAACTTTAATTATTATAGCTTCAATATTTTATACGCATACGCTAGCTCTAAAAGGCATAAGATTTTATGTTAATATTAATTTTAAGGATAGGAAATAAGACTGTAAGAATATTCAATAGAGAATATTTTATTCAATGCTAAGCATTATAAGAGTCTTAGACTGTGCACGATGATGCAAGTCCACCGTCAATCGATAATCTTATTCGCCCGGCCGATAAGATAAGAGGGAAGCCCGGAGAACAACGGCTGCAGACGCTGATGCAAACGGCTTGGTATGCAGACGGTAAAAACACTAGCTGTCCTTCTCGCACACCAGGAAAGTCCCGGCGCACATCAGGGAAGCCCCGAGTGACGTAGCGTTCCCTACCAGCAACGCTTCCCACTCGCCATGCCCACGCCCACGGATCCCTACCATCGCGAGAAGACTCTACGCAACTACATACGGAGCCCTATCCCACCACGTACATCGAGGCGCTCCCACTGCAGCATCTCCCCACCGACACCTGAAGACCGGAGGAGCTCAGAGTGAGCCCAGCATCCGACATTACTTTTTCAAACGTCGTGCAGTTGACACATCTTACTATTTGAGCTCTGAATCCGTATACTACCATTATGACAGTCAACCTAATAAGACATAAAGTAATCCGGCGCCCGCGTCGTCAAACTTTCGCATAGTCTTAAAGACTTTAGACTCTTACATTGTACCACGAGTATACCAGGCGTTAGTCTAACGTCCTGTAATAATAAATATTCAATTATTCAATAACCAGTGTTACTTATTCTACTGCATAGTACCAACTACTACTACTATCACAAGCGCATACGTATTATTATTCCTGGAGAACCATAATCGAGGAGGATCCAGCATATTAATCATTATTTAAATACGTATACCCATTTAATGGTAAGTGAAAATATTATTTCTGCATAATTACTGACAGGTTATTAGCCTTCTGGTCCCCGGTAAACCCGGTGAAATGCAGGGTGACCGAAAAAGAATTAAGCATTAGATTTATAAAAGAAAATTCTATTGAATATAATTAACAAACTATACTCCTACCTCAATACAGATCTATTATTACTATTATTATTATATGTTCACGCTCTCTAGTCTACTTAGTAGAAGAAATTAGAATATAATTTTTTTTATTGACTTCGAATACTGGGACGTGACAGCGATCTTATCTCTATGAGCCGAGAAGCGTTGTTCCTCAATT